AGTTCCTAAAAATATATATTAAAATATTAGATCCCACGAGTCCCATTTACCTAGGTCCTTTTAAAAATATTATTTAAACAAATTTATCACGTTGATACCAAAATAAAATTATTGTTGGCGTAATGGGCCAATTAATTATATCGTCCGACCTAATGGGCCAATTTTACCGGAAATTCATTACTCCCACCAAGCCTAATATACTCATCAGAGGATGGGCATAAGTTGGATCAGATTAAATTTTTAAGTAATTAAAATCTTATCCGAACATTTTAACCTTCAATTCGTCATCTGAGTTGACTTAAATTTAAAGAATTTTTACAAAACCGAAATTCAATTAATCTTTAAGATAAAAACTTGCACATACACTTACCCCTAATCCGATATATATATATATATATATATATCAAAAGTGTATTATTATAACTATCCATAAATTAAAACTTTTTATCGAAATAAACTCAATTCTTACATTACATTATACTTCAATTAATAATAAATCAATAAAAAAATTTGATCCAACTTATTTTATAATAAAAAAACTCGACACTTTAAAATTAAATCGGGTCAAAATTTGTCGACTTCGTGTCTCATACCCTTCCTATTACTTTATTAAACTCATAAAATTATGGAGAAACTATGCAAATAGTCTTTCGAATATAAGTCGTTACTTTGTTAAGTCTCTAGCTATTAAAAGTTACAAAATGATATCTAAATATAAGGTACAAATTTGTTGAAAACTATTAAAAGTTATAAAATGATCATCCGACTATTTATATATTCCAAATTCATCATTTTTAGTTAAAAATGACGTTCGTCTGAGCTGAAAATTAATTTATTGACCGAGATATGAAAAAATTATATTTTAATGATGTCTGCTCATATCTCAATCAACACGTACGGCTGAGACTGTCTCCAATTTTTTTAGCAGAAAAAGATGAGTTTAAAACATATAAATATGATCATTTTATAGTTTTTTATAGTCGGAATACTTAACAAAACAACGATTATAATCATAAAACTATTTTATAACTTTAACAATTCTACTCAACAAAACAATGTACTAGAAATTTGAATATTTTACCCTAAAATTATATAGATTGCATTTTAGTTGCTCCTGACATCGTCCTCGTTCCCGTTTAAAAAAACTTGTACCCGTTCCCGCTTAAAAAATCGCAGGGATTTAAACGGAGATTCTCATCGGGTAATCGAGAAAAATCGCGGGGAAACGAGTATCCCCGTTTAACATAAACGGTTATTTAAACAGGTATCGGGTTGGGTATATATATTTAAATTAAATATATAAAATATTATATATATATATATTTAATTTAAATTAAATTAAATTTATTAATATTATATATATAATAATAATTATTTTTAATATTTATCGGGTCGGGTATCGGGCCGGGTAATCGGGGCGGGGATTATCAAACCCGTCTCCATCCTTGTCCCCGTTTAGCATAAACAATTTTTTTCCATCCCGTCCCCGTTTAGCATAAACGGTTTTTCCCCGTCCCCGTTTAATTCGATTTTCGATTTTTCCCGTCGGGTTGGAGTTTTTTTATCATCCCTATCCCTATCCAGTAGGTTGATAAGCAACTTGTTATTTAATTAATCCTTTTATTCTTAGCCTTTTTAGATATAATTTTCGTTCTTGGAATTTGGTTTTGTTAGGATATGCTTCCAGTTTGCAAGGTTTTTCACGTGAACCAGTGTCCTTTGTGCTCAAATTCTCACTATCATGGTTGGTCAAGTTCCACAGTCAGCGAATAATTGGTTGCGTTCATATGTAGTAGATGAAGTGTTTGAAAATATTCCACTTGATTTTCCTATTCTGATTCTATATAATATGATTTGTTTCAAGACTTGAGAGGAACATAGGGTGGAAGGAAATGGGGTGCCTACTATCGACACCGGACGTTGGGGGGGGGGGGCAGAAGGAGGCCCAGAAGTATTGGGGAAATCGTAGTTTTTCTTCCTGGACTGAGAACTCCAAGGCCACTTTATTTTGCTCAGCCACTTGGTGATGGGCTATCAAAGAGCTTGGTTGAACGCTTGTCGGCGCTTAGAACACGTATAGAAGTCATGGCAGGTGAAGAAGCACCTATGACTACTAAGCCAAGAAGAACAGCCACACAACACGGCTTGATGACTTTTTTAAGACTTTGAGGTTGTCTGTTGAAGTTGTTTGATGTTCTTGTTTAGTTAAACATCGATTTTATAATGCAGGAGGTTCACTTTGACTGACCTGAAGCAGGCTCTCGAGGATTATCTACCGGTTTTGCTGGGGCTAGTCGAAAATGGTATCTACATGATTAACTATATATATGCCACAAATTATGGGAATTTGATATAATGTTAAAAAAGTTGAGAATGCATCAGTCAATGTAAAATGGATATTCAATGATTCTTGTCCGTTGTCCCATAAAATATCCTCAATTTTTTCTGAAAAATTGGAGTCAAGAAAAGCTACTTTTCGAGTGATATATTACTTATTTATTTCTTGTTAAATATGAAATCGAACTCTACAAAGCCAGATGTTCATACTGTTGTTTTACATTCAGCTGGCCGGAGATATTTGTTCTTTGTGGCCACACAATCATTACTTATTACTTTCGCATTTGAGCTTTTGATTTGTAGCTTGGAAGAGATCTTCCTTTTTCATCATGTTCTCTGTTTCTGAAGTTTTATCTTTTTGACCACATCCAGATAACCGGCAAAAACATAGCTTGCGATTCTGTTGGATAAATCAGGAAGATGATATGGAGGTGAACTAAATTAGACCCGAATCATAATTTTCATATCCGAGTACCTTCAATGTCTACAGTTTCCCCTTCAAAGAGTTCTTTACCATGCAGGAAACTACCATGTCGGATTCTTGGTATGAGGTACCATCAGTGTTGCACTTGATGGCCGTTCTATAGTTGTCACAAGCCAATTTTTTGCTTCTTCCGAATAAACCTACCGGTGGCTACCAGAAAACATCAGTAGAAGGCGAGGATAATTAGTTCTTTTTGATGCATCTGCTGCGGTAACAAGTTTGTTCCATACACTTTCAATACTCGTTCCTATCGAACAACATGATTTTTTTTCTGCAACATTTTATATATAATTTCGGAAAGGCATAGAGTATAAATCCCTTCTACGTATCTTACGAATACAAACAGATTCCATGTGAGGGTTTACCAATAATTTTCTGTACCAAAGGTTGCCTTCAGTTCTGCATATTTTTTTGAGAAGGATGTTCATGTTTGAAATTAATAGCATCAACATGCTAGGTTGCTTCAACCCATCTTTTAATCTGACACAAGTGATCTTTCTAAATGAATGAGATGACCACACGAAGTTCACAGCACACAATCCGGAACAAAATTTACTTAGCTCTAGTCCTTAAGTTATATTTAGAAAATTTTAGTTTCCTTTCCATCTTTGCAATGTTTTCTTCCTTTTAGATAATCATTTGGGTGCCACAACCAGGGTTGGCCCTCTCTTATTCTTTATTCACTTGAAGAACCGTCTTCCTTGGTGGAAATTCCAACCGATCCTAAGGTCATTGGTACCTCGGGCAACGGTAAATGCCAATATCTTTTCTATAGTTGATAATTGTAAGGTGTCATACAGGGACTATACGTTAGGTGTTTCTTTCCATTGCTTTCCTTGAACTTAAACTGTGACCTTCTCTATCAATCTAACTAAATCTACCATTTTCTTTATTTCTCTAAGAGTGCAAGCGAGCATCCATCGATATTTTCTTAAAGGCAGCTGGATATCTTGATTTTGCTGTGCAGAAAGTTCTTCCCCAGCTGCCCTTGGAACTTAGGTTTGCTCAAAAGACTTCTTTATAGTAGTATTCCTTAAATGAATTCAAATACCTGTATCATTTCCCTTGTGTATCATAGTTCACCGAAAGGCCTAAGCAGTGCCCGAAACTGTTGTTTCTTGCAGGAATGATTTGCCATTAGACCTGACAGAGGGAGTACTCAAATCCCTTTGTTTGCAAGCATTAGGCCAGGTAATTTTTTCATGATTGGTGAGGCTGATTTCAATTTTTTTGAAGGACCTAAGAATATATAACCATTTAGACAAAGACTATTTCACTCATTTGATCGAATTGTGGACAACGGTGGTCTTAATATCTAAGTTATAGCAGAATATGCAGTAATGTAATGTATTGTATAATGGTACAACTCAAATATCATGTTTCTAATTAAAGAAATCGGAGGCTGCTTGTCAAACTCTAGAGTTAATTGCTGCCCTTAATTTCCAAATATTTACAGGGTGTTGAGATTCAACTGGGAATGGCAATTGTTAGCGTTAAGGCCACACTGGCAGTGAAAAGGGGGCTAGCATGTCAGATGGTTAAATACTGGCATCAGGTAAATTTATCATTCTTTGCATTCAATCAGTATGCTTTTCTTTTTTTTCTTTTTTGTCCTGACATTTTATTTTACACTTACATACACACGCACGCACAGATGTATGTATCTATAAAATCGTTTTGTCTTTGACAATTTTCTTGTTTATACACAAATGCAGGCTCATGAGTTCATAAAGGACCTTCCACTAGCAAATGGAAGGGGAGAAAAGAACAAGCTTTTTGTTCAGTGCAAGCACATTGAAGCTAAGGTACAATTCTCCTTATGGTCTTATGGAGATCTAAACACTACAAGTTTAGATGCGAAAATGCCTAATTTCACTGTTTAAGAAGCTTGTTTGACCCAACATATGTAGATAGTAACTGTGTCATCTTATAACCACCTCTTGATGGTAGGCGTTCTAAACATGAACATTACACACCCTTCTTATGTTCCAGGCTGCCGTATACTATCTGCACGGATTAATCCTCGAATAAGGGAACACATCTGCCGACATGACTGTGGCTGCTCTCCAAGCAGCAGAAAAGGTTTTTGAAGAGTTCCATATAGCTCTCTCTTCATCATGGTAGTTTACTTCTGACCTTTCTCTGTGGATAACAAAATGAAAACAGAACATTGTAGCTTGTCTCGGAGCTGGAAATCCATCTTCACTTACACAATACCAATTGTTTTTGGTCCAGTAATCCTCCTCTGGGGATCTAGCAAGTATCTTGCTGAGAAGATTCCAAAAGATATACCAAGCAAAACAATCAACTAGGATTCACAAAACATGAACTGTAAATCCCCTTTTTTTCTTCCTTTCTATACACAAAAGAGGCCGAGTCAAAAAGGGGTTGCATATGCTGAAATTCGAACCCCTGACTTGTTAGATGCCAACTCTTGAAGCCGTGGTTCAATTTCCTTCCTTTTTTTTTAATTCTTTAGAATTTAGATTGGGTATAAAGTAACATTTAGTCTCTGAATTTTGCAACTTTTCTCTACCAATTGAACTTATTTTGTTTAGTTTGGATTCCAGGATTATGCAGATAGCTCCAGCATTGCCAGACTTTGTATTGTCACTAAAACCTGATGAATATCAGCTTCCTTCAATGGATCCCTCCTGGGATGAGGTCCAAAACCCTGCCAATTGAAGCCTCAAAATCCTATACGAGATGTGTATCAATTATTGCAACAAAATATTAATAAGAAAGTAAAATATTGTTTGGATCTAATCAAAGTTGATTAATGTCTTCCAGCATTTAGAGAGATTCTTTAGCCTTTCCCATTTATCATTTCCACGTTATATATATTTAGTATAATTCTACTTATTCTAATGTCACATTTTACGTCTTATTTAGAGTTTAGGGTTTTTGATTTTAGAGTTTAATATTAAAATACAAGATTATATAAACTACATTTTACACAATTTGTGCATCAAATAATTTCCCATATTTTCATGTATAAATAATAAGCATGAAACCATGATGGATGAACCCTGCTTGATAAAATGGCAAAAACAATGATAAAATTGAGAAGCAGCAGTATACATATAATGAAACAAAATACAGAACCCATGAATATAGAACAGGCATCAACCAAGATAGGTAGCATATAATAGACAGCGTATGGGAATGAAAGAGGAACATTTAAGGGAAAAGCTATGTTGACCTTGAGACAACACTCAATATGACATGATCCATTGATACCCAAAAGTAGAGCTTAGCCAGAGCAGAACAAAATTTCCAGGACTGGTCCACCTGCTAGCATTGTATCGATGATTCCTCGTTCGCACCTCTTTTAGACAACCAAATGCTTGGATGGTTTTACAGGCACTGCAGTATGTAACTTGCTTCAATTACAAGTAAGGAACTCCTGTCCTCGGCCCTCTCATCTGATTATTCTCTTCTGTTTCAGTGAAGAACTTTACTTCTCTTTCCTGAACAAATGCCGAAACCATAAGAACCATGAGCTAGAAACAACCTCCAATCCTAATCAAATAGAAAAGGTGCGACAATTTTATTTATTCTCACCATATTCTCATTGAAGCTCAATATAGAGGCTACATTCCCACAACGGTAACAATAATTCGGGGCAGACCACACATGGAAAAACAAATAATCAAGAAATTCCATTAAGCTCTTAATAAAGCTAAGCTAAAAAGATGAAAGCATAAAGTTCAGTCTTACTGTTACTAGGCCTTTATCCTGAAACATGTACTTAAGACCTTCTTGCATAAGTTGGTGAGCTCGACAAACAAGATCAAGCTTGTTTATGTGGTTGAACTGCAACCAATGACGAGGATAAAAATATTATTTCAGAATGATGGCATAGATATAGACTTGAGATGAGATGAATTACCTCAGATGTGACCCTGGACCCAAATAGCCAACCTGCTCCACGTGGACTGACTGCCCATGTTTCAATATCTGAAGGATCACTCCACATGAGATCACAGAAGGGACCTTCATGAGGGATTTCACAGTTACGGTCGATTACCCTTATCTGGCATAAAAGCAGATAGCAGAAAAGAGCATCAACATCACATAACGAAATAACAAAATGAACTAACAATCAATACACTTATAGTCGAACAAGTTCCCAGGAGAAGTACTTTTTAAAGAAAATACCATTCATGAGAAATAAATGGTTACAGACTAAAGACAACTACCACTTCAGGTTTGAAACTAAATATAATACAACTGCACAAACAATTTAATTTTTTACTTGATAAGACTTTGGAGTGGATGATAATTCACTGATCCAAAAAATATCTTAATCCTCAGACTAGATGGCTATAAAGTCAATAAAGTAAGATAATGCGACACAACTACTTAAACAACAAAAGGTGATCAATTAAACAAAACCTCGTTTGGCTGTCATTCTGGACAAAAAGTATCGATACAATTTAGAAAAGTATCGATTACATTATGTTTACCTATTCTCTTATAAAACCGGTATAATTTTACCGGTTACATTGTAAATTTACCTATTACTTTATAATTATCGGTTTCGATGTCTTTGTGTTTACTAATTTTGTCATTAAAAAAGTGTATTTTTACCACTTACATTGTAAATTTACTTATTACTTTAAAGTAATAAAAGTTGAATTTTGTAGTTATTGTACATACCTAAATATGTCCTACAAAATTAATGTTGTACTCACCCTTCAACTATTACATCTTATTGAAAGCACCACTGAAACATGTTGTTCTATGAACCTTTACTTCCCTCTCCATCAACTCCAGTTGGGACCATTGAACTTGCCCAACCAAATTTTTGCCATATGGATCATACTGCATCAGACAATATTAAGCCAACCTAGGAATGCCATTAAGTACATATTGTTGATGAATCTGACAAATTGGTTGGTCAGCTCTTTTCTTCACGTGATAAAGCTTGGTACTTTTACAAGGGATTCGTACGAGAATATGGTTTTAGTGCACTTCGGGGAACAACACGGCTTGATATGGAAGAGAATATGAATACACAAGATTTTTATTGTTCCAAAGAAGGGTTTCAAGTATTCAAAGTCAATACTGTTGATCGTCAACGTGTCCATACGTCAGTCACAAGAACGGGATGCAAGGCTAAAGTCGTAGTTACAGCAATAAATACAAACGATCAGTGGGTTGTAAGTAAGTCTTCTCAAAAACATAATCATGCATTGTGCACACCTACTATGACACCATTTATGCGTTCTAATAGAGCTGTAAGTAAGGCTGATATCGATGAGGCAACAACATTGAAAGAGGTAGATGTTGGCATGTCACAAGTAATGAACTATTTAACGCTACAGGCTTACACATAAAGAGTTTTACAATGCACTTCAAAGAGGTAAAACAAAGGAAATCTTTAATGGTGATGTGAATGTGCTTATTGCTTACTTGATTATAAGAAACATGATGATCACGGGTTTTTTATAACATACTTGGTAGACGAATCAGGGGCATTGCATAATCTTATTTGGTCGGATTCTACATCGAGATCAGATTACACATGCTTCGGTGATGTAATTGCGTTCGACACAACGTACAAAGATAATTTGTATGGTCGATCAATTATGCCTATTGTTGGTATCAATCATCACCATAGAACAATTGTGTTTACTATTGCCATAATCGATGACGAGACATCTCAATCTTTCGAGTGGGTGCTAAAGAATTTTTTAGAAGTCATGATGAATAAATCACCTATTTCAGTTGTCACCGATTAGGATAGGGCAATGCAGAGGGCTATCAAATCTGTTATCTCTTATGCTAAGCACATATTATGTTCTAGGCATCTTTCTCGCAATGCACAAGCTAAATTGGTGACCTAAAATTTACAGCAACATTCTCAAAATGCATGGCTTCCCGGTGGACAATCGACGAATTTGATATTCACTGGCATTCAGTTGTTTCAGAATTCAATGTCGAAAAGCATCCATGGGTGATTGAGAAGGGAAATACTAGGCACTTATGGGCACAAGCATATCTAACCAGTCATTTCTTTGTTAATATTCGCTCAACACAAAGGTGCGAGTCTATGAATGCTTCACTCGCGATTGCACTGAAACACAAGAATACATATTTAGATGTTGTTCGTGCAATTAAAGAAGGAATTAGTAGAATGCGTATGAACGAGTTGAAAGCGGATTACTTAAGTTCCCAAATGAAGTCCTTCTAGATCACAAAACTGATTGACCTTGAAAGCCATGCTACTGAGATTTAAACTTGCGAATCTTTTCGTTTGTTCCAAGAAGAACTTCAACGAGAGAAATTGTACCGACTTCAGAAAGATATTCAATCCTTATCAGATGAATGTCAAAATATAATTTTGACAATTACAAAGAAAAAAATAAGACATTTGAAATCAGTTTTGATTTTCGTATGAAAACCCTAAATTGCTCGTATAAAAATTCGAGACTGTTGGAATTCCATGTCGCCATAAACTTCACGTTTTGAAGCACTTTGATTACACATATTTGCCCGAGTCTTTGATTCAAAGTATGTGGACTAAGGATGCGAAGGCTTGTGCACCCAGTTTTGTTGACTTGAATGTGCCTCCAGAATTAATGCAAATAGCAAGGTTCACTGCTCTACATGCAACGTAAGTCGGTTATGCTACATTGCATCAAAGACATATGCATCTTTCAAAACCGCAAGAGATGAGATGAAAAGACTAACAGAAGAATTTAAAAACTCATTTGGTTTGAATGATTCAGTCAACCGGAGCAGTATAGTAAACAACGTTCGCGACCCTCAACGAAAACAACGCAAGCAAAAAAAGTACCAAATAATAAGGTCGAGAAGAAATTTATGTGATGTGTGTTCTTCAACGGTGAGGGACATAACAAACTAACATGTCCTCAAGTCAAGCTCAGTTTGGAAACAAGCATACAACCTACATCAACTGATTTTCTCGAACACGGAATGGAATGACCCATCAGTACCGCACATAATGACAATTATATTAGTGACATTTAAAATAATACAGACAACGATCTCCATATATCGTAAGTATCAACATAACTTCTACTATGTATAAGAAACATGTACAACAACTTATTGCTAACTTTTCTCATCTCATACATAATTACATTTAGATACAAAATTTCTCTTACATTTACATCATTGCGCCCTTTTGTTATTCTTGTGTCTGATATAAGCTTTTGTCATCTCCTCTCTTCGTTTATTTTGATCGTGGCTTACGAGATCGTTTAATATTCGCATACGATCCCACTCTCCAATAACCTATATTCAAATTGTCTCATTCAATTGCTCATTCATCTTATCCTCCACAAATTTAAATTGATTTAATAGGATAGATTGCTACATACTTCTACAAAAATGCGTTTCTGATTATATCTATTTAATATTGTCATCTGCATTAAAATATATCAAGTTATGATCCAAACAAATTATACATTATAATTTACATAATTTCCTTTTATACATACCAATCTATTAGCATCCTTCACTCTCTATTTGGCCGCTGGAGATGAAAATAGACTATTATATACAGTTGCAACACAATAAACCATATCCAAAACCAACATATACCAATGGGAACCACTGTAGTTTATTGTGATCAGGATATGCAATAAATTTCACACCCAATTTGACAAAATTCAACATTATATATCCGAAAACATCATTTACAACACCATCAATGGTTGTTTTGTCCTCCAACGCATGTTGCTGCATTTACGCGACAATCATTATTAATTTACCGTCTATAACACTACTTTTTAACATTTATTAATTTAACTCACCGCTAAGTGGTATGGAAGGTAACCAATCTTTTCGCATAACTTTTTCGATTCGTAACATAATGTCCAGCCGACCAAATCAATAACCTAAAAAAATTAATTACACAATCAGAACATATTCACTTAGTTTTAACATTTTTTACTTTTTACTTAACGCACCGCCAACCCATTCCATAGGCTTCAATGTTTTAACGTCGGATACAGTAGCGAATTGATTTCCAAAGTTGATTACAATATATCTGTGTGAAGCATTAGGATTAATATTTTGTCATGAAATATTTAAATATCACTCACAAAGCAATAAATTTCACTTACAACGATTGTTTCCGCTTGAAATTTCTGATTTTTCAACCTACAATTTTACATATAAATCTTTGTTACAACATAATAAAAATCAAATTATGTTTTCTTTTATTCACCTTACCTTCTACTTCTTGAGTGCAAGACATTTTGAATCCAAATATGCATCTTTAACATTCTCCGGTTTATAAATAACATCCACATCCTTCCTCCTCACTTTCTCCATATTTTCTTCTTTATTTTTTTCTTTCAATTCGTCGTATTTTTCCTCTACATAACTCTTCATCTCTTTTATTTCACCCTTCATTTTTTCCATGCATCCAACTTTTTCTCAACCATTCCCTTCACCCCTGTAAGTTCACCCCTTAAATCCACAACTTCCTTCACCACTATAGCAATTTTTTAACCCATCGCCATCTTAACTTACCCCTCAACTCCACAACTTCTTTCACCACTCCATCTATTTTCCACCCAATTCCCCCTTAAGCCTCTTAATTGCCTCTTCGACTCTTGATTGTCTTTGCAAAATATCAAAAAGGAATTTTTTTACATCCGCCAATTCAGATATCAAAATGTCAAATTTACTATGTTTTCCCTCACCGTCATCCCCCTAGTACCATCTCTTCTGCTTCCTCCACTGCCTCCTTGACAATAACCTTCAAAATTAAATTACAATATTAATACATTGATTATATTCTTAATATTATTTAATTACATTTATTACCCTTTCTTACTTCGTCAGTCTATCCAACTTCAACTTTGCCATCACTCTAACCACCTCTTCCTTCCCCCATGCACGGATGTGTGCCACTGTGGTTCTTTCATACGCCGGCACACTATTACAGTCTGACCAAAAATCGAACAGTGCAACCTGCATTTATGATTAAATTTATCATTTTATATAATAAAATTACTATCATTTTATATAAAAAAAACAGAAACGTTATTTAACTCATTTACCTCTAAGATTGCTATACCCTTTGAGATATCTCTGGTGGCCCTTTTGAAAGCTGATTATTGATTCAATCAATCTCGAATGGACATATTCAGCCCAATTGAATTCACCTTTTAAGCCTTCATCGCAAATCAGCTTCTTATTATCCTTTCTCTTTGATGTATCACCCGTTGGACAAAGAAAGATCCCGACAAGGTACAATAGAACTCGGGCCTTCAGGTAATCCCCCTCGTAAGATCCACTTTTGATTTCCTCTTCAAGTTCAGCATATGTCACCTTATGCTTTAAATCATATTTGGAGGCAAGTACTTTCCAGTTCTTAGTCTTACTGACTTCTACAACACTTGTCTTTATTTTCTACCCCCAAAACGGCTGCAACACATGGGATCCCCAGAGGAAATGAATAATCATCATATTTAACCATAAATTGTTGGACATCGAATTGTTCCACCAAGGATCGACACAATTCCCTCCGAATTGATCGATCCCTTACTCCTATCAAAGATCCAAGCCTTATTTCTTTCAGCACATTCAATTTCTCCTTCTACTTAAGGTGTTCAATTATTACATTCACTCTTTTTATGCTGCACCTTGTCGACACTTGCTACATTTTTTAAAAATATATAATGTTATTGTTCTTATATATCTTTTATCAAAGTATTTACAAGTTTAATGAATACTTTTTTTTCATGTGCTTTCTTCCAAGCTTTGTATTATTGTCTATTTATCTTTGACCGTATTATGTAAGGTTCCTTCTCAACATTAATCATCGACTTTCATTTCTACAACACATCATCTTTCACCAAAAATTAAGCATAAACGTTTCTTAATCAATACATTAATGCTAAACAATACTCAATGTCAATTTCATTTTATATATCGAACCGATGTGATTATCAGCTTCATTCATCCTTTGGCATTCAATTGCTCCTTCTCCTTAAGGTGTTCAATTAATGAATTCACTCTTTTTATGTTGCACTTTATCGACAATTCCTACATTTAAAAAAATATATATAATGTTATTGTTCTTATATATCTTTTATAACAGTATGACCGAATGCCAAAGGATGAAGGAAGCTGGTAATCACATCGGTTCAGTATGTAAAATGAAATTGATATTGAGTATTATTTAGCGTTAATGTATTGATTAAGAAACATTTATGCCTAATATTAGGTGAAAAATTATGTTTTGGGGAAATGGAAGTCGATGACTGATGTTGAGAATGAACCTTAAATAACATGGTCAAAGATGGATAGACAAGAATACAAAGCTTGAAGGAAAGCACATGAAAAGAAGGTATTCATTAAACTTGTAAATACTTTGATAAAAGATATATAAGAACAATAACATTATATATTTTTTTTTAAATGTAGGAAGTGTCGACAATGTGCAGCATAAAAAGAGTAAATTCATTAATTGAACACCTTAAGGAGAATGAGTAATTGAATGTGCTAAAAGAAATGAGGTTTAGATCTTTGATAGGAGTAAAAGATCGACCAATTCGGAGGGAATTGTGTTGATCCTTGGTGGGGCAATTCGATGTCCAACAATGTATGGTTAAATATGGTGATTATTCATTTCCTTTAGGGGTCCCATGTGCTGCAGCCATTTTGGGGTAGAAAATAAGGCAAAAGTGTTGTATAAGTCAGTAAGATTAAGAACTGTAAAGCACTTACCTCAAAATATGATTTGAAGTACAAGGTGACATATGTTGAACTTGAAGAGGAAATCAAAAGTATATCTTACGAGGGGGATGAGCTGAAGGTCCGAGTTCTATTGTATCTTGTCGGGATCTTTCTTTTTCCAACGGGTGATACATTAACGAGCAAGGATAATATGAAATTGATTTGCAATGAAAGCTTGAAAAGTGAATTCAATTGGGCTAAATATTTCCATTCGAGATTGATTGAATCAATAATCAGCTTTCAAAAGGGTCACTAGAGATACCGCAAAGGGTGTATAGCAATCTTAGAGTTAAATGAGTTGAAAAACATTTTTTTTATATAAAATGATAGTATAGTTATTATATAAAATGATAAATTTAATTATAAATGTAGGTTGCACTATTCAATTTTTTGTCGGACTATAATAGTGTGTCGGCATATGAAAAAACCAGAGTGGCACGCATCCGTGCATGGGGGGAAGAAAGAGATGATTAGAGTGATGACGAAGTTGAAGTTGGATAGACTGACGAAGCAAGAAAGGGAAATAAATATAATTAAATAATCTTAAGAATATAATAAATGTATTAATATTGTAATTTAATTTTGAAGGTTATTGGCAAGGAGGTAGACGAAGCAGAGGATGCAGTGGAGGCAGTGGAGGAAGAGGAGAAGAAAGAAGAGATGGTAGTAGGGGGGATGACGGTGAGGGAAAACAAAGTAAATTTGACATTTTGATGTCTAAATTGGCGGATGTAAAAAAATTCATTTATGATATTTTGTAAAGATAATCAAGAGTCGAATAGGTAATTGAGAGGCTTAAGGGGAAAGTGGGTGGAAAAATAGATTGAGTGGTGAAAGAAGTTGTAGAGTTGAGGGGTGAAGTTAAGATGGTGATGGTGGAAAAATTGATAGAGTGGTGAACTTACGAGGGTAAAGGAAGTGGTTGAGAAAAAGTTGGATGAATGGGGGGAAATATTAAGGGTGAAATAAAAGAGATGAAGAGTTATGTAGAATAAAAATACGATGAATTGAAAAAATATGAAAAAGAAAAGATGGAGGAAGTGAGGAGGAAGGATGTGGATGTGATTTATACACCGGATAGTGTTATAGATGCAGATTTGGATTCAGAATGTCTTGCACCCAAGAAGAAGTAGAAGGTAAACTGAATAAAAGAAAACTTAATTTGAATTTTATTATGTTGTTGCGACAAATTTATATGCAAAATTATAGGTTGAAAAGCGGAAATTCCAAGCGGAATTGGTGATTACGAAGATACAATGTGTGATTATTTATAGAATAGTGGGTTACAAACGTCGTAAGTGAAATATATTGCTTTGTGAGTATATTTAAATATTTCAAGACAAAATATTAATCATAATGCTTCATACAGATATATTGTAATCGACTTTGGAAATCAATTCACTATTGCATCCGACGTTGAAACGTTGAAGTCTATTGAATGGGTTGACAGTGCGATAAGTAGAAAGTAAAAAATGTTAAAATCTAGTGAAAATGCTCTGATTGTGTAATTAATTTTGTTAGGTTATTGATTTGTTTGGCTGGACAATTATATTACGAATTGAAAAAGTTACGCTAAAAGATTGGCTACCTTCCATACCACTTAGCGATGAGTTAAATTAATAAATATTGAAAAGTAGTGTTATAGACGGTAAAGTAATAATGATTGTCGCGTAAATACAGCAACAGGCATTGGAGGACAAAGCAACTGTTGATGGTGTTGCGAGCTTTTGGGGATGATATTAGATGACTATTTGAAATTCACCGAGTGTGACAATTTAAGACACCATACGAATTTCAAATGATGTTTCGGATATATAATGTTGAATGTTGACAAATTGGGTGTGAAATTTATTGCAGATCCTAATCACAATAAACTACAGTGGTTCCCATTGGTATATGTTGGTGTTGGATATGATTTCTTGTGTTGCAACGGTATACAATAGTCTATTTTCATCTCAAGTGGCCAAACAGAGAGTAAAGGATTCTAAGAGATTGGTATGTATAAAAGGAAATTATGTAAATTATAATGAATAATTTGTTTGGATCATAATTTGATATTTTTAATGCAGATGACAATATTATACAGATATAATCAGGAACGTATTTTTGTAGAAGCATATGGCCATCTAAAGGTCCCATTGAATAAATTCAAATTTGTAGAGGATAAGATGAATGAGCAACTGAATGGGTATGAGATGTTATCATAAATAGAAAGCGCAATTTATGCAGGTTTTATAATTGACATGTGTGGTATTCAAATTTTGTAACAGATATGATTGCGGCATTTATGTGATTATGCGGATGGAATCGATCGGTTCTAGAGGGTCAACTGATGATTTTATAAGTGGAATGAAAAATTAGTTTGCGGTTAAATTGTTAAAAGTCATAAATCGAATGTTGTGGTTTACAATACTTAACGTACTGACAATTTGAATATAGGTTATTGGAGAATAAGATCGTATGAATATTAAACGATCTCGTAAATCAAGATCAAAATAACGAAGAGAGGAGATGACAAAAGCTTCCATCAGACACAAGAATAACACAAGGGTGCGATGATGTAAATGTAAGAAAAATTAGTTTGCGGTTAAATTGTTAAAAGTCATAAATCGAATGTTGTGGTTTACAATACTTAACGTACTGACAATTTGAATATAGGTTATTGGAGAATAAGATCGTATGTGAATATTAAACGATCTCGTAAATCAAGATCAAAATAAACGAAGAGAGGAGATGACAAAAGCTTCCATCAGACACAAGAATAACACAAGGGTGCGATGATGTAAATGTAAGAGAAAATTTGCATACGATTTATAATTCTGTGTCTAAATGTAATTATGTATGAGATTGGAAAAGTTAGCAATAAGTTGTTGTACATGTTTTTTATACATAGTAGGAGTTATGTTGATACTTATGATATATGGAGATCTTTGTCTGCATTATTCAAAATGTCATTAACATAATTGTCATCATGTGCGGGACTGATGGGTCATTTCATTTCGTCTTCGAGAAAATCAATATATGTAGGATGTGTGATTGTTTCCAAACTGAGTTTGACTTGAGGACATGTTAGTTTGTTATATCCCTCACCGTTATAGAACCCACATCATCTAATTTTCTTCTCGACCTTGTTCTTTGGTACTTTTTTTTTGCTTGTGTTGTTTTCGTTAAGTGTCGCGAACATTGTTTACTACACTGCTCTAATTGACTAAATCATTCAAATCAAATGAGTTTTAAAATTCTGCTGTTAGTCTTTTCATCTCATCTCTTGCGGTTTTGAAAGATGCATCTGTCTTTGATGCAATGTAGCATAACTGACTTGACGTTACATGTAGAGCAGCGAACCTTGCCATTTGTATTACTTCTGGAGACACATTCAAGTCAAAAAAATTGGGTGCACAAGCTTTCGCATCCTTATTCCACCTACTTTGAATCAAAGACCCGTACAAATATGTGTAATCCAAGTGCTTCAAAACGTAAAGTTGATGGCGACATGGAATTTCGACGGTCTCGAATTTTCTACACGAGCAATTTAGGGTTTCTGTACGAAAATCAAAATTGATTTCAAATGTCTTATTTTTTTCTTTGTACTTTGTCAAAATATAATTTTGACATTCGTCTGATAAGGACTCAATCTCTTCCTAAAGCCGGTACAATTTCTCCTGTTGAAGTTCTTCTTGGAACAAACGAAAAGATTCGCGCGTTTAAATATCAGCAGCATGGCTTTCAAGGTCAATCAGTTTTGTGATCTTGAAGGACTTCGTCTGGGAACTTAAGTAATCCGCTTTCAACTCGTTCACACGCATTCTACTAATTCCTTCTTCAATTGCACGAACATCTAAATGTCTTCTTGTTTTTCAGTGCAATCGCGAGTGAAGCATTCATAGACTCACACCTTTGTGTTGAGCGAATATTGGCAAAGAAATGACTGGTTAGATATGCTTGTGCCCATAAGTGCCGAGTATTTCCCTTCTTAATCAGCCATGGATGCTTTTCGATATTGAATTCTGAAACAACTGAACGCCAGTGAATATCAAATTTGTCGATTGTCCATCAGGAAGCCATGCATTTTGAGAATGTTGCTGTAAATTTTGGGTCACCAATTTAGCTTGTGCATTGCGAGAAAGATGCCAAGAACATAATATGTGCTTAGAATAAGGGATACCAGATTTAATAGCCCTCTGCATTGGGTGACAATTGAAATAGGCGATTTATTCATCATGGATTCTAAAAATTCTTTAGCACTCACCCGAAATATTGGGACGTCTCGTCAACGATTATGGCAGTAGCAAACGCAATTGTGTTATGGTGATGATTGACACCGACAATAGGCATAATTGGTCGACAATACAAATTATCTTTATACGTTTTGTCGAACACAATTACATCACCGAAGCATGTGTAATCTGATCTCGATGTAGAATCTGACCAAATAAGATTATGCAATGCCCCAGATTCGTCTACCGAGTATGTCATAAAAAACTTGGGATCATCATGTTTCTTATAATCAAAATAAACAATAAGCGCATTCACATCAGCATTAAAGATTTACTTTGTTTTACCTCTTTGAAGTGCATTGTAAAGGTCTTTATGTATAAATCCAACATTATAATAACCCTTTGCCTGCGTTAAATAGTTCATTACTTGTGACGTGCCAACACCGACCACTTTTAATGTTGTTGCCTCATCGATATCAATCTTACTTACAGCTCTATTAGAACGCATAAATAGTGTCATAGCATGTGTGCATAATGCATGATTATGTTTCTTAGAAGACTTACTTACAACCCACTGATCGTTTGTATTTGTTGCTGTAACTACGACTTTATTCTTACATCCCGTTCTTGTGACTGACGTATGAGCACGTTGACGGTCAACAGTATTGACTTTGAATACACAAAACCCTTCTTTGGAATAACAAAATTATTGTGTCTTCACATTCCCTTCCATATCAAGCCATGTTGTTCCCCAAAGTGCACTAAAACCATGCTCTCGTGTGAATCTCTTGTAAAAGTACCAAGCTTTATTACGTGAAGAGAAGAGCTGACCAACCAATCTGTCAGATTCATCAACAATATGTACTTCATGGCATTCCTCGGTTGGCTTAATATTGTCTGATACAGTATGATCCATATGGAAAAAATTTGGTAATGCAAGTTCAGTGGTCCCAACAGGAGTTGATGGAGAAGGAAGTAAAGTTTCATAGTTCATGTTTCTGTCGTGCTTTCAATAGGATGTGGTAGTTAAATGGTGAGTACAACATTAATTTCGTAAGACATATTTAGGTATGTACAATAACTACAAAATTCAACTTTTATTACTTTAAAGTAATAGGTAAATTTACAATGTAAGTGGTAAAAATACACTTTTTAATGACAAAATTAGTAAAAACAAAGTTTCCAACATTTTTGTCCAGTATGGTTCCCAAACTTGAGGTATCGATACATTTATCATAAGTATTAATCCCAAAAACATCGAAGCTGATAATTATAAAGTAATAGGTAAATTTACAATGTAACTGGTAAAAATATACCTGGTAAAAATATACCGGTTTTATGAGAGAATAGGTAAACATAATGTATCGATACTTTCTAAATTGTATCGATACTTTTTGTCCAAAATGACTGCCAAACGAGGTGCACGCATAAAGTGTCGATACATTTATTGTAAGTATCGAACCCAAAAACATCGAAACCGATAATTATAATATAATAAGTAAATTTACAATGCAACCGGTAGAAATATACCGGTTTAATTAGAAAATAGGTTAACATAATGTATCGACATTTTTTAAATTTGTGTCGATACTTTTAGTCCAGAATGAATGCCCAATGAGGTGCACGCATAAAGTGTCGATACATTTAAAGTATGGATCCCAAAAACATCGAAACCGATAATTAAAATGTAATAGGTAAATTTACAATATAACCTGTAGAAATATACCGGTTTAATTAGAAAATATGTCAACATAATGTATCGATACTTTTTGTTCAGACTGAATGGCCAACTAGGTGTACGTATAAAGTGTCGATACATTTATAATAAGTATCGATCTCAAAAATATCGAAGCCGATAATTATAATGTAATAGGTAAATTTACAATGTAACCGGTAGAAATATACCGGTTTAATTAGAAAATAGGTCAACATAATGTATCGATACCTTTTTAAATTGTGTCGGAACCGTCTTTCGGTTGGGCCCGTAATTGGGCTTCGACTTAGGAAAATGTGGATTGGAGTCACCACCGATCATTTATTTATGACAAATGGGTTGATCGAAAAACTTATTTCTTACCTGATCTGCGTCTTACCTAAGATGTGTTGGATTCGGGAGTCGGTTACAGTCAAGGAAGGGTTAGCACCCTTGAACTACCCTTTCGGTACTACGTAATTTCTAGTTGTCTTAAATTAAAAAAATTATAAGTTTAACTTGAAAGGTAAAAATTGATCCGAGTTACTTACCTTTAATGAGTTTACGGAAATACCCTTAAAATTAAAATAAGGTGTTAAAACAAAATAATAATAATAAAAACTAAACTAAAGAGTAAACCAAAGAAGTAAATGAAACAAACAAGAATAAACAGAAAATAAATGGATGAAACAAACACGAAGAATGAAAACGAAATTGAATAAAATAAAATAAATGAAGATAAAATGTATATACAAAAATAATAAGAAATGTAAAGTATTAAAAAAAAGGAAAATAATAATAAGGGCAAAGAAACTAAAAGACACAATAAAAACAAATAAATAGTATAAATAAAATAATAAAATAATAAAATATATAAATATAAAAATGTATGTATAATAGAATAAAATACTAAAAAGTAATAATTAAAAAAATCAATAATAATAAAAAGAATGGAATATATATATATATATATACAATATACCATAATAATAATAATAATAAAATAAATAATAAAACGTAGTATATTAAATAATAAAAAGTAAATAAATAAATAAAATTAAAATAATAAAATAGGAATTGACCTTAACAGGGGCTAAATTTAAAAGGAAAACAAATCAAGTGACCAAATTAAAAGAAAATTGGAGTTCAAATTTAATTTTGGGACCAAAATGAGAGTTTTTAAAGTCAGAGGGGCTAAAAGCACGGTTTACCCCCATTGAAACAAAAAGCACGCGGATCAGATTGGCCAACTATATAACTTAAAAAAAATTAAAACCTTTAACAGTTTCATTTTAAAACCAAAACGCCCCTCCTTATTCTCTCATCTGTTCATCCGAGAGATGAACGCCGCCGCTGGTTTTCAGATTCCGGCGACCCATCCGCCTCGCCGTCATCGTCGTCGTTCATCGGCGGCCAAACACGAAAAGGTAGACTTTTTCCGAAAGCTCTTCTTGCGTAGATTACAAAAATCCAACTAGTTTTTAAAACGGGCCTCGGGGGGTCGTAGATCTAACAAAAATGCTTCAACAAAATACACCCACCGGTCATCGGCCTCTTGCTTTTTGGTTTTTTCGAACCAGACCTCAAGGGAAAATCAACATGCAAGGTTAACCAACAAATGAACAAGGTAAAAAGATGATACCTTTTTATTTATCTCGAAAGGTTTACAACAA